TGGTTTCAGAGTAGGACCTGTTTTGCTTTTTGTAAAGCTTTTTTCCCTGAAACTGTTAGCTAAAATACTAACATAATAAGAAAGAACTGCAAATGTTTATTTGCATTTTCCTACTTCCAAACCTGAAAAGGCATTTTATTATATGAATTTCATTGTAAAACTGCACATTTATTTAATCTCCAAGGAATTAAAGTTGAAACTGTCCTCTTTACTAAATCATCATTAACAACATATGTTTACCAATATTTCTGTTAACATTGTTTGGTTTGTTCTGTTAATTTTATTGGGAATTTTGGGGGGGGGTTTGTCTGTTTGTATTAGTATAAAAATTTGCACCATGCTTCTCGTACCAGCCTGGGTTCTTGTAATTGCACACATGTAAGGCCAAAGACATACTGTGCACCCCGTGTGTTCATTTACTTAAGTACCTAGTGCAACTGTCTATAAATCAATACAGAATTTAGCACATGCTGCATTACAAAGGGAAGCATTTGAGTGCCAATGATAAGATTATTAATTGGAGGCCAGTGGTAAGAAGGAAACGAGTACATTGAAAGACCTAATTCAATAAAGCAAACATTTGCCAGCTTTCAGAAACAGAGCATATTTGCCAGGTGGAGGGCCTTCACAAGAGCCTTCTCTGGAGAACATCGATCACCTGTAAGTGGTCACTGGGATTGATTTATCCAAGGTGAGCACTGCCTATAAAGGGTGTTGCAGGATAGAAGCAGGCCTTTTCCATCTTTGCCATGTGTTGCTTCAAAATAAATTACCAAATTAAAACGGTCTTGAGATCAGTTTGTTTAATACAAAAACTGAAGAAAACAGCATACATAAAGTGAAATTGAAGACTTCTGAGTTAACAGTAACTCCATAGTATTCATAGTGACACTTCCTTTTGTAGCAGATTCATTCTTTTGTGATCTGAGCTAAATATGAAGCACAAGAAACCCGAATGCTCTTCACATGTGCTCTGAAACCACCATGGGGCTTCATGCAAAACATTAAAGCAGACCGTTTAGAAACAACAGTTTTAGTGAGCAAATAAGTTGCAAGACCTGGGACCACAATTCCAGTTATTGATTCCAAACAGTGATTTCAGCAACAGAAAATCTAACAGCTAAGAAAAGACCACTTAAAATGGAGCAAGCTCCCTCTTTACAAATCTGCCCAGTGAGGTTTGGTATTAGAAGCTATAGGGCCAAATTCTCCTCTCATGTGTATCCTTGCAGCCCTCTGACTTAAATGGAAATGCACAAGTGCAACTAAGGAGAATTTGACTGATGGTATCCAGTATTTGGGGTTAGAGAGCAAACTAAAACTAACACTTTTAAGGGGACTTGTTCAAGGACAGCCTGAATCTCAAAAACCTAAATATTCCAATTTTGTTTGTAGCCAAAATTAATTCTTTTACAAAATAAAATTGTGTTTGCATGTAAGATCCTCTTGTCTGTAGAGCCTGGACTGTTGAAGAACTCAACAAATGACAATTTTTATCTCGTAACAGTAATATTCCAAATGCAGAGTTCTGTATTTTTTTAATGAATAGACTTGCATGGGTGTATGTGAGAGAGAGATCTCCCATCAGATGTGGCCAAGAGTGGGATGTGTTATGAATATAATGAGGTGGGGGTTAGGGGAGTGCAAAGATAATCTGAAACTGGCAAAGGTCATGAAAGAAGGTCCATATTAGAAGTAAGGAAAGCAAATACTGCTGTTAATTCTTGTATAATTTGTGTAATTTCCTTACCTTGATGACAATCTGCTGATTCGATCAGCCTTGTTTTTAAAAAGATATTGGCTGACCAGTATATCCAACATGAGGCTGAAACCTGAAGTTGACATTTATAAACAGCATCCAGTATCTGTTGTATTAACTAGAAGTGCAATATAGGGAATATAAAGAACTTGCCATGAGCACTCTTCCTCAAGGTCCAACTGGATGAGCAGAATCAGAGGAGGAACCTAGCAAAATTGCAAACAAATCCATTTTTTTCTGCCATACCTTGGCACTTATAAAGAATTGAAGGGCAGGAGGTCCATGTTCTTTTTCAGTCTCAGTCTGGACTCTCTGAACAGTGATTGTACCCAGGTTATTTAAGTGCAGATGATGAGCTTCTTTGACCGCCACTAAGTATTAGATATCACTTGTCAGTACGGGGATTTTGATTGTCTCAGAATGCCTAAAACAGCAATATCTTTCTATACCTTTATAAACAACTTCAGAATATTTAGGAGTCGCCAATAAGTATTTTTGTCAAGATGATAATTTTTCCACCCTATTTACTAGGAAATGCAGATGCAAAATATTAATAAAATTTCAATGGGCTATGAATTACTGGAACTAGTTTCTGATGCTATAACTTTCTGAAATTCAAATGGCATACCAAAAGAGTTCTCTTTATGTAGAATCATTGTAAAATGGTACTGTTGCTGTAGCAACTCTGTAGTTAAGGGTATAAAACCTATTCCATCCTAACCTATGTTTTTTAGCATCTTATAAATTCCCTTTTGGATCAGATTTCTCATACTTATTTGTTTGGAAAGTTTCAAGGAACTAGTATATGTCTAGGGGACGGGGGGGTTGTTTTTTGCAACCTCTGCTGTTGCATGGAGGTTGCATAAAAGTGTTGTAATCCTCTTTTTTTGTTGCCTTCTCATAACTAAAAAAACCTCACTTTTAAAAAGTTTGAACTTATTGTACAGCTAATGAGGGCAAGTGACTGTGACATGTTAGAAAATATTTGATTTTGATATAAGTTAACATTGGAATGTGTTAATTTTAAAGCTTTGACAATATATTTTTACATTTTTTTACGTAGTCAACAGTAAAAAGAAAATAAGATTAATCTGAACCATACAATACAGTACTATATTGTTGTGGAATTAAATTTTTTAGCTGAGACAGCCCCTGTTGTTGTTATCTGCATTAATTTTCTCCAAATGTTGTGTGCACTGAATAATAGTCATCAGCACCTCCTACTGAGTCACTGTCCATTCTGAGAGGGCATAAGACTCTCTCTCAGACTCACCTACGTATCATAAAGCATGTTTTTATATCCTCTAAAATACTTGGAGCTTGAACTCAATTCTTATTTTTATATAAGGGCATCCTGGAGTGAATGTATTACAGAACTCATATTAAGTTACAATTCAAAGGACTGGATGATTCCAAACAAATGATTTTAATAGTCAAAATAGACCTTATCTTGCGGGCCTGGTTACTACTTTGAATGGGCAAACCATCTGAGAATACCAGGTATTCTAGTCTTCTTTATCTTTCTTAGCAGTAGCTGATAGTAAATGTCTTTGTTCCCATCAGATTTCATAAACTAAGGAAAATTTGATCTATGTGGTACTTGGATAAAAGAGCTTTAAGAAAATAAGGAAGGTCTGGAATTCATAGTTTTATATGCACCAAGGGCATTAAAAAAGGGCTATACAAACACTTGGGGCTTGTCTACACTGCCCTGCAGTTCCGACTAAAGTGCTGCACTGTGTGGATGCTGCGGATGCGAACTAAAAGGTTCCTAGTTCATATTAATATAGTCCTCTAATGTAAACTCTGCATTAAACTCCTATGTGGACGCTCTCATTCATGTTAAATTCACACCTTTCGTTCATTCAGATTAACTTCAGAGTGTAGGCGAGCCCTAAGTATCCATGTGGACCCTCCTACCATGCACTAAAAGGTCCATCCTGGACTACTCCGAGAATTAATGCGCGCTTTTTTTCTTGTGTAGACAAGAACATAGTCTACTCCTGTTTCAAAGCAAGGTAGATCAGAGCGCACAGAAACTGTGAACTTTTAGTGCACAGCAGCAGATTCCACATGAATACAGTGCACATCAGGCTAGTGCTGGGTAGATTTACACTCCAGCTTGCTGTGAACTAAGTTTTGTATTGATGAGCCCTAATTTGTACTGTTTTTTATCATTTGGAATCTCTTCCTGGAGTTCTCTTTACATTTCTCCATGCACTTTGTAATTGATTTGACTTTTATACCAAGGAGGGTCAAGTCAGATCTTGTTTTCTAGGGGAGCTGAGTTAAGGTTTATTTGTACATCTGTGAGGAGTGCTAGCTTAGGAGCCTATGTGAGTTTTTATTTTTATCTGGTTTATTATTTAGCTCAGGAAATTGCCCTTGCAAAAATGTTAATGCATATTTAATATCAAGGTTAGAATATGGAACCTTTATCCAGGCTTGACAGCACTTACACAAGTAATACCATTTACTTCATTAAAGTCAGTGACAATGCTTATAAGAATAAGTGCTTAACAAGGGTAAGGGTTACACAGTCAAACACAATTAAACAATTCTTTGTTTCCTCACCAACTTATTTTCCTCATTGTGCATATACCGTACACTGCAAATGTGGATGGATGAATCAGTTCTGGAAAAGAGAAAAAAAAAAAAAAAATATATATATATATATTCCCACACACACAGATAATAGTAATTGTTTATGAAAATCTGATTGTTTAACATAGTTGTTCAGTGTTTGGAAATGTAAAGCATTAAAGGCCAGATTTTTAAAGTTGTTAGGCATTAGGTCCCTAAATACCTTTAAAACCTGGCCCTAAGTGCTCATTCTTATTTAACGAAAGACCCAAAATCAAACTAAAATGTTTCTACCTTTAATCAAGTGAAGTTAAGTACAAGTCATAATTGACAAATATTTGTGATCAAATGCCTTTATATATTGGTCTTCTATCTTTTTACATTTTGTCAATAGTATTTTCATAAATCTAGATTAATTTATTGCCAGTGTTTATAAATAACATTTATGAAAATCTATGAAGAGAGAAACAACTGTTGAGACATTTTGCAGGGATAATGGGTGCTGTGATATCAGGTTAAATTTTAGATTATTCCAAGAAGAAAGGATGATATTACAGTAAAAGTGCATGAAGGACAATCTCCTACTTAGGGATTTGCATTTTCCATGGTAAGTAACCTCTCTTTTTCTCCTTGTTTTTTCTTCTCCTGAACTTTCCAGGTAAAAGTACTCCTGTAAACCAGCTCGGGTCTGCAGATTTTACCAAGCCCCATGATCCATTCCAGCCATTTGGGGCTGAGAGCAGTGACCCGTTTCAAACTAAAAAGGGGTTTGGGGACCCGTTTAGTGGAAAAGATCCATTTGCTCCCTCCTCTTCAAGTAAAACTTCTAAAGACTCTTCCTTGGGGTTTGCAGACTTCAGCTCTGTAAGTTAATTCATTGTCTCTGAGCAAACCACTTTCTACTCTGCTTGCCGCAAACTCTTAGTTTTTTTGTTTTAATTGCAAACCTACTGTCCACTGGCTTCTGTCTTAATACCTTCATGCTGTCCCCATTGTAGTTCTGTATTAATATTTCTGTATAAAAAGGCATTTTCTCTCAATAATAAAGGAGTTTTGAGTTTGATACTCAATTTTAAAAGGGTTTGTTTTCTTTTAAATTATTTTAGTACAGTGTGCCTTTACTCTCAAGATATTTGTAGCAGAATCTGTGTACTGTTTTTGTTGCATGGAGGCTGTTTTGTAATTGATTTTTGGAAGCCAGGATGTAAAAATTCCTCAGAAATAATTGTTGAAAGACATTTATATAGCAGTTTCACCGTATCCTGAAAAGTAAATCCTTAAAACAAAGGATTCCATATAGTATTTGTAACTGTTTGTGAAAAAGTTCTGACAATCCTGTCACAATGTTTTCTGTATGCACTGGAATCATAAAGAGACATATAGGAGAGAGAGTGAAAATTATTAGTTGAATTTTGTTTCAATTACTGATTATGTATTTCATGATAAATGCAAAGCAATGCACATTGGAAAGCATAATCCCAACTATACATATAAAATGATGGGGTCTAAATTAGCTGTTACCGCTCAAGAAGGAGATCTTGGAGTCGTGGATAGTTCTCTGAAAACATCCACTCAGTGTGCAGCGGCAGTCAAAAAAGCAAACAGAATGCAGGGAATAATTAAGAAAGGGATAGATAATAGGACAGAAAATATGTTGCCTCTATATAAATCCATGGTACGCCCACATCACGAATACTGTGTGCAGATGTGGTTGCCCCATCTCAAAAAAGATGTATTGGAATTTGAAAAGGTTCAGAAAAGGGCAACAAAAATGATTAGGGGTATGGAACGGCTTCTTTATGAGGAGAGATTAATAAGACTTTTCAGCTTGGAAAAGAGACAGCTAAGGGGAAATATGATTGAGGTCTATAAAATCATGACTAGAGTAGAGAAAGTAGATAAGGAAGTGTTGTTTACTACTTCTCATAACACAAGAACTAGGGGTCAACAAATGAAATTAATAGGCAGCAGGTTTAAAACAAATAAAAGGAAGTATTTCTTCACACAGCACTCAGTCAACCTGTGGAACTCCTTGCCAGAGGATGTTGTGAAGGCCAAGACCATAACAGAGTTCAAAAAAGAACTAGATAAATTCATGGAGGATAGGTCTATCAATGGCTATTAGCCAGGATGGGCAGGAATGGTGTCCCTAGCCTCTGTTTGCCAGAAGCTGGGAATGAGTGACAGGGGATGGATCACTTGATGATTACCTGTTCTGTTCATTCCCTCTGGGGCACCTGGCTCTGGCCACTGTCGGAAGACAGGATACTGGGCTAGATGGATGTTTGGTTTGACCAAGTAGGGCCATTCTTATGTAGAGAAGCCCTTGTTAGACAAAGCAAACGAAGGTCTGTTTTGTAGAACCAGTATATTAACATCCATATTGCACCCCATTAGAAAAGATCAAAAGGTCTTACAGCAAAGCCAAGTGCCTTTCCAGGAGTAAGTACCAGGTTTTCAAAAAGCCTGGCTTTGTTTCTAGTGTTGGCAGATACATTTACAATGATTTCAAATGTAGTATTAGAATGGCTGTTCTAAATGCTACCGGTGGTGAATAGAAAATATGTTCCATACAAAGCCTCCAGCTTCTTTCTTCTTTCATGTGTTTAAGTTTTTTATTCTGGGTTGCATTGCCACACAATAAAATTACCAACTCAGTCTATTCTTTTAAATCTGGTGGGCATATTTCACTGTTAAGTAGGTGTTTGGTTTTTATTTAAAAAGTTTTATCTCAAGTGGTATTAATTTTAAACAGTTTTCCCCAGTATTTCAATTCACAGTAAAATGTGTATCATTCTCCAACCTGATATATGTTTAGCTGAGGTCCTCTGTGCATATTTTTTTAGTTGCCCTCAATTCTTTAGTTTATCTGAAAATATCAAAGCTCAAAATATTATTAAACTTTTACCATAATTAGCAAAAGTCTGTTGAAAGTTGGTACACAGTTAAATTCTGAGACAGTATACAAAATGGTGACATAATAAAAGTCAGACACAGAGCTTGCATTATCTGCAGTTTTTTTGAATGGTACTTAGTTTCTGTTTTTGGGAACAAGGATGTAATGTCTAAGCATAAAAATGGAATGACTGTTACCCAACAGTGATTATTGTATTGACAGAGTACAAATATTTCTTAGTTGGCAGGCTTGAGTAAGTCATCAGTGATTTATACCAAATGATTAACCAGTGTCATTTATTCCATTTAAGTTTGTGTTTATGCCCCTGTGCCATCAGGGTTGTAAGAGATAGGATCAATCTTGGAAAGTAGAAAAAATAGGATCTGAAAAACCATTTATCATTTAGCTGGTCATAGCTTAGGTTAACTCTTGTAGCTGGACAAAATTTAGTCTGATGAAACAAATTTAAGCTTGCATTTGTAAATGCTCTCTATTGCCCTGAGAAATCTCTTCACTAAGTGCTCCTTTAAAAAGAGAGCGGTTTATTTGTTTCCCTGTTCTATTCAACATTATTTTCTTTCTGGTTGTGTACAACACAGGATCACATTGCCACGCTTAGTAATGCTTCATCTCTTGCTTTGTGAAGTCATAAGTAAGCCAGATATCTCATAAACCAGGGAAAGGATTGTGCTTATCTGTTGGTTGGAGGATCCTGTTCTCAATTATGAAAATTCCAAACAATTCCATTTACAGTATGTTTTCTGACATGAAGTGTGGAGCTGTAGAATCTGCAATTGCCATGTTGATTAGCTGGAATTCTTCATGATTACAAGCAAAGAGAAGTTGAGGATTTCCTTTAGTTTTTTAATTGTTATTCTAGTGTTGTTGTTGTTTGAATTACTGAGTTGTTCTTATCCATTGGATTTAATGAGTGTGATTCCATTGCATTCTTGACTTTTGGATTGACATAAAACGTGAGTCTTGGGAGCTGACAAAACATTTTGTTAGTTCGTTTTTCAGATATTTCTAATTTATAACTTATAGAAAAATTTGCAAAATTCCAATCATCTTACAATCAACAGAAAAAGACAAGCCAGGTGAGGCTTCTTTTGGTGGAAGGGAAAACTTGTCCCTTCCACCAACAGAAGCTGGTTAAAGGGACAATCTTTCCCTGCCACCAAAAGAAGTTTGTCCGATAAAAGATATTCCCTCACTTACTTTGTGTGTGTCATATCTTGGAACCAACATGGCTACAACACCACTGCAAACAATTGATAGAAAGCATGTTTTCATTTTCAAGGAACAGATCATTCAGAACTAAGCTCAAAGATTGCTCTTTATTCAATGCATATAGAGTTTTGTCACATATTAGACATATTTTTCCTTCAGATGATTTGTCTTCCCTCCACTTATACTAGGCCATTAATGTACTTGTTCTAATATTTTGAAAAATATATCAATACTTTATTATTTGAGTGTTGTTTTCAGATACCTTGTACCAAATGAAAGTACTTGTGATAATGCATATTAAATCTTTGTGTGAGAACTTTCTTTCAACATTAGCTTTTGTTGAAAACTGGACAGCAATAATAATGTTATACTGATTTATTTTTAGCTCAGTAAAATGGATTTTTATGGGCAATCTGCACATAAAACAGTGATGATATTGAATTGTTAGGTTATACGTTCCACCACTGAACATTTAAGGTTCATTTAGACAGACTTGAACTTTCAGAACCCATGTGACTTAAGTATTTAAGAAGTACAATCAAAATTTGAGTGAGCGACAGGGAATGGATCACTTGATGATTACCTGTTCTGTTCATTCTCCCTGGGGCACCTGGCATTGGCCACTGTCAGAAGACAGGATACTGGGCTAGATGGACCTTTGGTCTGACCCAGTATGGCCGTTCTTATGTTGTTTAAATTCTAAAAACAATAACTTCTTTTAATCTGGTGGTGATTATAAATTATACTTACATAATAAATAGAGATCTTTATATTGATACAAAAGTATGCTTTTGAAATATGTTTGATCATGCTAGCACTTTATGATAAGGTAAAAATGTCAATCAAGCATCAAGAGTTCCACACTTGTCAGAAATCCAGATTTGCTTTGTCTTGAATCCACTTCACTCTTTTAGTAAGCTTTTCTAATCACACACCATGATTTCAGATATGTATGAAATAAACATGTTTGTTTTTAGAAAAGTCTTTAGAAATATGCATCTTATCCTAAGGAATGAACACCACTGGTAAACTTATTTTTTCAACATTTTGAAAAAGTATCTGAGACCAAAAGTGATTAGCTGAAGTTCATTATATCTCTAAAACCTTTATAGTAACAATAATTTCACCCTAACACCGATCCCTAGGATTTTCTTTTGAATGTTAAGAAACTTTGGTGAAATTCTGGCCCCACGTAGTTTGACTTCATTGTGGCCAGGGTTTCACTCATTGTCTTGAAAATCATATATTTACAATTTAGTGAGCTTTTAAGCCTTACTTATCAACTATTCAGTGAAATAAATTATAGTAGGAATGGACTGCGTTTCTTGGTTTCAAAAGTCAAGTTGCTAAGATGCAATGCGCTTGTATTACTAGCTTTGCTTTCATGACATTAATTTTTTAGCAGTAATAGCAGGAGGAACTGCCAAGAGCCAGGATAACATAAAGACAAAATACAGTTTAACTAAAAAGATCAGAGAATTGGACATAGATTACATTTCTTGCAGGTCCAAATTAATAATGTGAATCTTATACGTTTGTTTAAAAATAATATGAAGCATGGATATAGTGTGTAATGGAAAGGTAGATTCTTGGGAAAATGTACACGAGACATATAATAAATTAGATAAGTGCATATTTATTATTTATTATTTAAAGTTAAGCATATGCTTTCCTGAATTGAGGCCTATATGAATAAGACAAAGTTTGTAATGGATGCTGTAGCAAAATAAGCCAGTGCAACTATGTATTGTGCTGCATTCAAAGATATGTCTTGTCTTATGGACCAGGGAGGTGGTATTCACAGTTTATACAGATATGATTCAACCAAAGGTGAAATTTAGAATTCTATGCACTGCTTTTCCCTTCTAACAAATCAAAATATTACATTTTTCTGAACATTCAAATAAGTATCAGAGCAATTTTTTAAACAGTGGAAATAATACAAAACTAAGTACTAGTTTTGCAAATACTAGTGTGCGTGTTTGCTGGACAGTGCGCCCTTAAAGAATAAACAGTAAAAACTAATCACTGATTTTATTTAAAAGTAAATTAAAATGTTATTTTGATAAGAAAATAATATTTCTCACATTTTATACAAAATCCAATGCAATCAGTTTTTAATGTCCACTTCTTTAATATGTGAAACTCTGTGTAATATTAGGGATGATTATTATTGGAATAATTTTGCACATTGCTTCCATGTACTGAAATTATTTGATAATATTAAAAAAAAGATATAAGATGAATATTAAAATGTATTTTATTTCTTTAGTGTTTGTTGCAAAATTCATTTGGATTCTGTTATATTGTTTGCTACTGTACTGCCTGAAAAACTCTGCATTTATTTTATAGACAATTGCAAAAGCAGAATTTTACTTTTGATCGGATGGTGAAACTTCCCACAAATCTGCAGTCTCCAGGTTCATTATTAACATGTATCACCATTTACAGAAAACACTTCACAGTGTAGTGGCATATCAGTAAATAGCTTCCAATTTTTGTGAGCTTGAGGCTAACATCATTATGCATCTTTAGTATGGATGTAGGCTGTTATACCCTCAAACTACATCAATGGGCAAAATTACTTGGAAGAGAGTTCCTCTCTATCCCCAGATCTTCTGGTCACTTTCTTGTATGCATTTGGGACCTGGATTCAGGCAGGATAACATCAACATGAAAAGTTTATGCCTTGGGTGGGAGGAGGAAGGTATTAAGTAAAAAGATCAGTGAATGGAGTGGGGAAACCAATGAGTTTATTTCTGGTTTCAACCTAAAAGTGATAGCCTTATACGTCTTGTTACTTGATGCACATTTCTTAATGATTTAGATCTACTGCATGTTGCATACTTATTCTGCTGTCTTATTGTATATTTCTTTTGTTTATTAACCAAGTTTCCATTTTTATTTTTTAGTTTGGAAATGAGGAGCAGCAGCTGGCCTGGGCAAAGCGAGAGAGTGAGAAAGCAGAGCAGGAGAGGCTGGCTCGATTGCGAAGACAAGAACAGGAAGACCTTGAATTGGCTATTGCACTTAGTAAGGCTGATATGCCAGACTCTTAAATACAAGTCTTTGGGCTCCACCCAATCCAAGTCAAACCCTTTAAAAAAAGGTTTTGTAAAATTCTTGTTTTATGTTGTGAAGTAATTGTAGTCACCTTTAAGTCAAAGCATAACAAGATTGGCTGGTTATATCAAACTGGGCTTTCCATGGCTTTTCAAGTACATAATGCACAGGAAACACACTGTAAAAATTGTATTATACTTCCTAGATAAAAGTTACTGCTTGTAAGAAATTTAATGTATGACCCTAAGGTACTGAAAGCAAAGTTTCTTTATAATGCAGACAGTGATTGCATACAATAAGCTGCAATTTGTGAATCTGGCTTTTATTACCTGAATTCCATTGTCATTGTTTTGAGGCTGCAGTATGAATAATAAAATTATAGAAAATGACACTTGTAAAAAAAAAAAAAAAGTATGTTTATAAAATTATCACTTAGCTTTCAGTTCTTTTTGTTACATTTATGTAATTACTCATAGTAGGCCAATGACCACCTAGCTCAAAGACTTGAGGGCAAATTCTTTCTTAGATGTTCCCCTTTCATCAGTGAGATATGGCTTATCTTATGAAAGAAACTCTGATTATTTATATATTAGATGCATAGTGACACAACTCATGTAGAGTCAATCATATTTTGAATTCAAAGCCTATGAGAATTAATAGCTTTTTCTTATTTAAACATGATTATTTGCATAAGAGTTTTTTAATATTTGTACATGGTGGTATTAAAAGGAGTGATCCTGATATAGTAAATTAGACAAATGATGACTCAGTTCTAAATCATGGGATAAAATACAAATTAATTCCATGAACGAGCATTAAGACAGGAATGATCGTGTTTGAGGCTTTTTCTACATAATGTTGAATAATTTCACACTTTTTAAATTTTAATTTTGAACTGTAATCTTCCCTGCAACCGTATTTTCCCTTCATTTGCTCTAACAGGCAGAATATAGGGCTGCTATTTGTATTATCCAATTGACTATGTTACAATCTCTACCTCGGAAGTGATTAAGTGTGCGGTCTTATTTTTAAATATTCTGGTTGATGATTAATCTCACTGCCCTTCATTTAAAGTTATACAACTGTTATATAGACTAGAAAGTTTTTTACTTTAAACTAGCCCAAGTTCACACAGATTTCATTTGCCAGATAGGTAGAATAAATGGATATTCATGCAAAAGTTACAGCAATATTTGTAGAACAGATAGACTTAAAAAACCAGCCTATCTACTGATAGCACTAATTAGGCCAGTATGTCCAGCTTTTTTATAGATTTCCAGAATTCAGGGGGGATGTTACATGTATTTTATAGAGGTAATGCAATATGTATTTTACTTGTCACGGATATAAAATGAGTACTTATGGTATTTTTTGCTGTGAATTATTCATTTATAGAAACTGCCTTTTCTGGTAATATACAGGAATTCAGCACTTCATTTGTCCTTGCCTTGTGCTCTGGTTTTGTTTGTAAATGGAATGGGCATTTAGGGCCAAATTTTCAAAATGTTCTTTGTGATACCTGTATTTGCATCCGCAATTCTGCACATGTGCATATTGGCTAGTTAACATTCTGAATGTCCAAAATGTGGCCCTCAGCTTGTAAAACATTCTCTGTTGGATAGCATTGTATTTCTTAATCTTCTGCAATGTATTTACATTTTTGTGTGTCCCTGTTTTGTTTTTATTTTTCCTTTCACAATGATGTTAGTGCCTGTTTTTCCAGTCAAACAATCCCTACATTCTAATTGCCTCATTCTGGATACTTTCCTTACACAGAGATAAGAATCCCAGTAGGGATTATTTTTTCTGATGACTAGTTTTCAGACCTAGAAATGTAATTAAACATTGGTTGTCTCAGGACAATGCTGCATTTGCATTGAAAATCGACTCTAAATTGAGAACATCCATTTTAAGGTCTTCAGACAGAATATATTTGACAAAACTGAAGCCCATCATCTCAGAAGACATTCTACAGAGTTGCTGATCCCTGAATGTGTGTATAACTCCTGTTTAATGTTATTACAAATGCTATGGGCTTTTAAATTTGTATCAGGAGGGGAGAAGAGACCCCTAAATATTAACAAAACATATATGTTTCTGTGTTGTCCTTTATTGAAGTAACAAGCTGCCATGAATACTGTAGGAAATAATCCTGCCATACTTACAGACCTATGTGGTCCCTTCCAACCATAACTGTTTTTCTGCAAAGTATATTATGGAGAATTTATGGGCTTGTCTACATGGTAGTATAATGCACTCTGTGTGGGTGTGATTTCTAAATCACACTAATGTATTATGCATTAGTTGGTCCACATTGACCCCTAGTGTGAATTAACACAGTACTGGGTCAAAAAGCACTGTGTTAATGAGCATTCACATAGTGCTATTTGAACCAGTGCTGCACTAGCCAGATCTACCTGGACCAATTAGTGTGCAACATATTACAGAGGTGTGATTTCTAAAGCACATTAGAGCGCATTACCTAACTGTGTGGACAAGCCCTAAGTTATCAAGTCTAATTTCGAAAGTTTCAGAACACTCTCTTTTCCTTTGGTCCACGACACTGAGCTCATGAAAGCAAATTAGGTCTACTTGTAGCTAACATCAGTACAAAGTTTTTACCATTAAATGGGGGTGAATGTAGCATATATTTACATGGCAGGGCTATAGATGTCATCCTAACTATATAGACAGATCAAATCAGAAACAGCTGTATGAGACAGTATGTGCCTTTTCTCAATCCACCTTGTACTACAGTCACATTGCTTCAGAGAGATAGTTGCCCTTTGTTCTTTGAGCTGTTATTGCAGTTTTGTTATTTTATTTAGTCTTCTCTTGTATTTTTTCTGTCTTGTGTAGATATATATTTTGCATTTGTCTTGGTATCTTTTACACATCTAGCTCTTCGTTGAAAAAATAGGCTATTAGGATGCATGATGAAATTAAAAAAACTGTATCTGTGCATATAAAGCTTTTAGATTTTTTTTTCTTTTCATTTTCAGTAACTGTTCCTACTTTGTAGGATATTTCATTCCTCATGCAGCTGAAAAATCTCGTGCTGTTTCAAAGCAACTGCAATATCTGAGTCCCCTTCCGAAGTGTAGTGTGAACACGGGTCATTCCTTTGATTTTACAGCCACATTAGGACACTGCTCTTCTCCCTTTACAGCTAATAGATTTGATTTTTATTGTGAATGCTGCTTTTATAGTAATTTCCTCTTTCATCTCTCCCCCAATGTATGGTGTCAATTGCACTCACCTCTGACTGCAGGGTAAAGCCACTTTCTCCAAGTTGGCAGTGCCATTCCATAACCTATCCTTAGGAGGTGCACTCTCCTCCCCCGCAGCCCAGGGAGTAAAAGCATTACTTCTGGAATACACCAGGCCTGAGGAGTGAAAGTTACAAGATTGCATTCAAGCTTGAGTTTCTGTGTGGAAAAGTGTGGGGGCCGGGAGAGTGACACAATTTGTTTCTCTTCTGCTCAAATTAAACAGCATCTTTAAACCAATTTATGAAGGAATTCTACTTCTGGATCTCCGCACACAAATGGGGCATGTGGATGAGCTAAAGTGCCTGATTACTCAGAAAATTAATGTGCCATAGAAAGAATTTCAGCCACTTTATCAAATCTCTGAAATCTTCTTAATATAATTGTGTTACTTCTGTGATATGCAGTTAGAATGATATTACCTCACCCACCTTGTTTCTCTTACTTCTATAATAGTTAGTGTTTTTGGGACACAGTATGAGGTCAGAAAAGTTAATTTATCTAATATATATAGTATTATATCCAAGTATAAACTTGGATTGTCCCTTCTGGGGTCTAGCCTTGTGTGACCAAATATTGAGAATGAGCCAGTAGCAAAAGGTCAAGCAGATTAACCAATCAGGAATCCAAGAAAATACGTAGTTAATCCATTTACAATTGCAAACATGCAATAACCCTAAACTGTTCTGAGATGGCTTTAATTTGGGAAGAGAACAGATAAATTTTAGAAAGCTGAAGTCTAGGAAACTTCCCTCTGATTTCTTTCTGTAATATCTAAGTTTCTCCTTGTAGAAAGCAGTCGACTTCATTCTTCCCTACCTTTGGAAGCAACATTTTTTATAGAAATTACTCCACTCTTTCTCCTAAAGCAAAAATTTATCTTAACACATTAATCTTTCCTTCTTCCACCAAACATTGAAATCTTAACCACAGATTCACTTCAGTTTGGGCAGATCAGTGCGCGCGCACACAAAAATAAGGTACATCTGTATGTAAATATACAATAAGTTATATAACAAAGACAGTGTGTATACGTTCACACAAACTATAGTGTATAATTATATGTGCTCTATAAAGTGCATATGCAGTAAATATATAGTATATTACTATATACTGTAAAAATGTGTATATATGTCTATATGCATATGTGCATTTTCTGTATAGAAATGGGAAATGAGACTTTCGTGGTTAGAATTTCAAAGTTCTGGCAAAAGAAAAAAACTTCTTCCAATCATTTTGTTCAATAATGCTGTTGTTGGCACAATTAGCTGTGTGTTTTGCCAGATGTCAGAGACACCTGAGGGATTTGTCTCTCAAAGGTGAGTACAATCTGCCAAAGAAACGTTTGACAATGTGGTTTGGATATTATCACCTTTGTCGACTTGCACTTGCTGTCCATTTCCGGTCTGCTGGCATGTGTCTGTGTTGGGAGGCATCTCATTCCCTTTTCTCAGCATTAGACAAAACTTTGCCTCCTATTTTTTTGTTGAATATTTTATTGTTGAATTAAAGAATCTTTCACATATCTTCATATTTGGATGTTAGGTAGAAATGCGGTAGAAGATGCCGTTTTCCTCAATCTCTTGTCTGTCATTTTGGTTGCACAGTCACTCTTCTCTGGGTTCGAACTGTGTTTTGTTTGTTTCTCAGTTTCTACCTACATTTTTGCCTTAGGAGACATGACTATGCATTGCATTTTTGTCGTTGATGAAAGAATTAAGATGATTCAGTTTTCTACAGGGAGAAATCATTAGACCACAGAATGTAAAACAATCACAAAGAAGGTGCTAGGTTCTATAGTAGCGTGTGTATTTAGTATATACATCTGCATTTATGAAGTGCAGTCACTGCTGGGGTGACTCATGGCAACCATTGATTACCACACAGCAACACTACACTGCATTTCAGACAGAAATGGAAGAAGACTTTTATCCAATTGAAACTAGGCTTTTACAAAATATTCTTGTTGTAGCGTCTGCCAACCATTCTACCATAGGAACAGATAATATTAAGGGATGTACTGGTACTTCTGTACTTTTGTATGAGACTTCATATGATCAGCATAGTTTTCCTTATGAAACCTCTGGCCTAATTATTTTTAAGTGGGGTAAGTGATCAGTCTGTAATGTATTTTGTTTTATATAGTGTGTTCTTAAATGCAAGGAAATTCCAAGCTTTATCTGTTAAAGTATGGCACTTTTTTTTCTTTCTGGTCTATGTGAAATCCTATTGTTAGACACCTTGTCATCACTTCAGCTTTGCTAAAAGACCTATTTTTCTAGGGTTCTTCTTGTAACCCTTTTGGGGTTTACCATTTTATTTTTGTAATACTTCTCTATATTTGTTCTGAAGATTCAGCACTTATGGAATTTTGGTCTGAGTGTTAGGAATCATCATTTCCGCCATGTATAAGGATCATTCCTATTTTCCATTTGTCTTTATTCCCGACTCTCAGAAAATGCATTTCTATTTAATTCCAATGTTCCAAAATAAGTTCTGTCAAACAGATGTTTTGTTTTGATCTGTGCTAATAGATTGTGTAATTATAAATGCATTGACCTGTCCCAGATGCAATTAAATTACCAAACAGTAATAGTTAAATCTTTATGGTGCAGCATTTACACCTTTTCTGCAGACCCCCCATTCACAATCAAATCCATTTACTTTTTCTTAGTAAAGAAATTTTGTCACAAATTCTGCTTTGAACATGAAGGAAACGTTAAGGGTTTTTTAGGATGAACAAGTTAACTTTTAATAATTGTTGACATGTTTTATCAATTGTTGTTTTATGGTTCTTTTTACTTGAAAGATTTATAAATAAAAGGCTGAATTGTTATAAATGCCTCAGTCATTTAAAATAGAATTTTCATTTTTTTCAACTTCTGCTTTTCCCTTTAAAACTAAATAACTTTAAAAGGGAAACATAAATGGTTCCTTCTGCTGTTAGTATAATGACAGTGATATGTCCCTCTTAATATGACTTTGTTTAGTCTGATGGAAGTTACAGGTTAAGAAGGTGAAAACATAAAGTGGAAACTGCAGCATTTACCAGAAATTCACTAGTCTATCCAAATATGTACATTACTGTAGTTATATTTATCCTTTAAATATCATATAACAAATTGGGAAAAGGTGTTTTAATTTTAACCTATGCCATGTGTTTATTGTTTAATATAAGAAGAGAAATGTTATTGTTTAATATAATAAATGAAAAATTACTTTTTTTTTTTTTGTTTTTTGTTGTTTTGGAGTTCTGCGTCCCTGATTTCACAAACTATCTTGGGTCAGATTTGTGAATCTTGTTTAGAATTACATTTTTAGGTTATATATTTTTTTCTGGGTGTTGGCCTGTCCACACTATTTCCCCTCTCTCCCCAAAACCACACTTGGTACATACCATCCAGTCACAAGATCTTATACCACACCTTCAACAAAAACTCTGTCCCATCATGTTAAAACCTTCCAGGGAATTCGCATAGGGAGGGGTTATGAGAGCATTGCTGGCAGCCCCTCACACTGAAGTGTGTTTGCCCACTGACCTGAAAGAGGATTAATCCCTTTGATTCTGACTCATTATTTCTGCCATATGCTTGTTTCATTTACTCTATGTCTGTACATAGTGGTGTGTTACCAATAGAGTGCCATTTCAGGTCCCATCTGTTATTCTTGAAACTACTCCCCAGAAATATATTTAGCTTTCTAATTTTATTGAAGCCAAGATTTTGTCTTAGTTTCAATGTCCTTAGCTGGTTTAACTAACTTCTTATCCTCCCCACTATACATCCCCTCATCCTGTAATGCCCCCTCTTAATCTTACAGGCATGGGGCCCAGATCTCTCTCTTCCTTCCATTTAATTATTTGGACTATGAAGTACAGTGTAGTCAAGTACACTT